CAAAACATTGTTGATTTTTGATTAAAAATTTTGAATTTAATGCGTGATAAAAGGACTGGTGCGCAAAGACAGGGCCCTGATTCGCTTGCCGGCAAGCGTGAGAGCAGTAACAAAAATTTCTGAATGATGAGGGTGCCGTGGATAGAAAAGGCTAGAAATGAAGACGAATTAGAAAGAATAGGTAAACAAAGAACTCTATAGACATTAATAAGAAATAGGCGAGATAGGTTAGTAGGACACCGTCTCAGGCATGAAGGACTAGTCAGAGACATAGTACAGATAGAAACATGAGTTAAAGGGGATTACAGATCGACCTAGATTGGGTTACTATTCGCAAATAGTTAACGATGAGAAATGTCCTAGTTTTAGGGAAATGCGAAGATTAACTCAGGATAGAAAAGAGTGGGTACGTGTGTTCAACCAGTCTTAAGGCTGACGTCCTTACGATAATGAACACGAGGTAATATGTAGTGAGAATAAATAAGTAGTGTGCATTCCTGTCTAACTCCCTTCCTAATATTTACTTCTCTACGTTGCAGTTCCAGCTCTATAACTGCTTCTTTCTCTTTATACAGACCAATTATCACTCTTCTGTATTTTTAACTCGTCCCTACTTTTTTAAGTATATTTAACATTTTGTCCCATTGTCAAAAGCTTTTTCTAAATCTGCAAATCCTATGTACGCACTGTTCCCTTTTTCTAACGTTATCTCCATTGTTACCCGCAAAGCTAGAATGGCCTCCTGTGTTCCTCTATATCTTCTGAAGCCAAATTGATATTCCCCTAATAGTTTATCCGCCCTTTTTCCATCTTCCTTTGTACGCCTGGGAAGTTAAACTAATTGTTCTAAATGTCGCGCCTCCCTTTTCAGGTATGGTTGTTACTCCCTCGTTCCATTTACAATCCTCTGGGACTTATTCCATTCCATAAATGTAACTAACTAGCTTAACATATGATCTCTAACCTCTTCTCTTGCATGGTTTAGAATTTACGCCTGTATCGCATGTATACCTGGCGCCTTATGAAGTTTTCTAATGCTACATCAAACTCTTCTCTCATTATGGGATAACTTAGCTCACCTATCTATACACTATATTCCTTCTCTAATACATCTCCTAACTCCTGACCTGCGTATATGTTCTCCAAATATTCTTTCCACTTATCTGCCCTTTCCTCAGTTTTTATCAAAATAACTCCTGCTTCTTTTTATTTATTATTACTACTGTACCCTACATCTCTAAAATTTCTTTTAATTATATTATAAGCCTCATCCACTTTCAAACTTTTTTTCTACTTATTTACACCTGATATCAATCCACTGTTCCTTAGCTGCCCTTCTTCTATTAATCCTAATCCAATCTCGTTTGTTATCCAGGGTTTCCTACTATCGTTTTATTTATGACCTAGTATATCTTTAGCTGCTGACTTTAGGCACGTTTTAATGCAGTTCTGTTCTGTCTCTGTGTCCCTTTTATTCCTTTCTCCCATCTCCTTTAGTATTTCGTCTGTCCTTTCGTAGCCTATCACGCGTTTCGTTACATTTTCGTTTCGTCTCGTCAAGACGTCTCCTAGTTTCCCTCTGGGACTGATATCTCCTTAAATTACCTAGCATCTTCCACGTATAGCGTCTCCTACCTTTATGTCAAGAAAATATTTTTTGGTGTGTATTATATGGTTTAAAAATTTTATTAATATGATGATTCTAAATTAGGCTATTAAATATTCTTATATAGCATACATTCGAAATTCAAATGATACTGACTGTACAGTAGCTGCTGTATATAGAAAATCAAATCGGCGGTAAAATGTTATAAAGGGGAACATTCACGTTTTGAAAACAAGGTATTAGCGAATTTAGCAGGCAAATTAGAAATAATGTGCTTGATAAATGAAGGCAGTGTACAAATTATAATTAATGAATTGCTTTTGAAACGTTGATTATCCAGAGGCTTACTAAAGTAAGTAAACGATTCTCGATTAATGAACCTCCATTAATATTTGTTAAACGAATCGATAAACAAAAGTTATATCTTGAAATAAAATGCTTTAAATAACTGAAAGGGTTTAGGTGCTTCGTTTAGTAACTACACCGTATAGTTTCCTTGCTTTAGCACACAAAATCCTCTTTATATTGTAAAATACTGTTTTTTACTCGTTGTTGGAGAAAATATTGTATAATGAGAATCGGTATTTTCAGCAGAATACGGTATGAAGGGTTAGTTAATTTAGGAATAAAATCAAATTGAAAACACCGGCTTTGAAATAGTTAACGAAATACTATATTTTCCATTCTTCCCTAGTTACACAAAGTAATCAAAACCAAAAAGGAGCATAAAGTTCTCTATCATGTAAAACCTAGTGCTGACGTTTCGCCTCAAAATTTTGGATTTTTCAGTATTAGTTTTTAACAGTCTATAAAAATTAATATACAGATGAATTTTTTTGAACATCATGTACATATCCTAATAGAATATTACCACTAAGTCTGATTAACAATTTTTGTATAAACTAAAACACTAATAGATAAAAACAAATGGATAATATAGTTAAAAACTGCCCTTAATCTGGAAATCCTCTCTCGTCACAATGAAACGTATGCCAAAGATTTACACCACCCTCTGATTAAAAGAATCAAGGCAAAAGAGGGTGATGTCATTATTGGTTATAAAACCGACAGCAACGTTTCGCCTCTTGTTGGGAGACTTCATCAAAGATAAAATAATTATAAGGTGTTTATAAATAATCGTTGTCTGCAATCGGTACATATTCATGTGAAATATTACAATCCAACAACACAATATATTAAAATAGTAAATAGATAAATAATTAAAAACTACACAAAAAATCGGTTGTCTGTAAAGTCGGTTTACTGACGATAGTTGAACGTGACAACGTCATAAGAAAATACTGATGGAATGGTTTCATTTTTCAAAAGAAAATTTTAATTTTATTTGTTTGATAGATATTTTGTATGGATATAGAGAAGGAGGTAAATGGAAATGTATTATTGTGTAGCAGCTGTCCACGCGGACGCATCGCTCACTCAAGTAGGAGAGAGACAGATGTCGAACGCTGCCGAACGCGGAGGCCGATTGTGCCTCTTTGTCGCTCGTTCCGCGTTCTCGCTTACACTTCAAGCCTTAAATGGAACGCCTCAGAGCGAGGTAACGCCGCATGAGTCATGTTTTTTCGTGCGTGCAGCCGGCTCCATTGAATTATAAGACGTTGTCACGTGAAAAACGGCACAATTTTTAAATAAAATAATAAATTATTATAACAATTACGTGACACCATTAAGGACATTGTTACAGTAGAATGAAGACACAGCGAATTGTAAAGCACTCTTATTAAATCATATTATGCACACGAATTTCAGTTAATAAAAGCAACATATTTATCGTGATGTTGAAAATATGTGTCAAATTTACTAATAGTCCGGTTGCGGCGTATGTGTCAAAAGATTCTGAATTGTTTTCGGAAGTTTCTTCCACTTTTATCAAATTTTTTGGAATGTTCCAGTTTACTTCGTGAACAATCACTTCCTCTTAAATTTTTAAGCGAAACAAACCAAGTGATCCCTCACTTTACCTAAAAAACAAACAATCTGTGGAAAATAGACATACAGTACTTTTCGACGTTCACCATTAAAATTACTAGATGCTTTGTTTTGTTTTCCGTGTATTCTGTTTGATAGGTAACTATCTTGGTCAAAGTATAGAATCAGAGACTTTATTCGTCTTGGTGTTAAAATTAGTAAACAGGAATATTTAGACCATTTAAAAAATATATTTGATCTAGGAATGTAAAGGAAAAAGGAGCTAAATGACCGCCGGTGGAATTATCTGATGAAATCTATAAGGATTGCATGGATTTGTTTTTTTTTTTTTTTTTCGTTTTGAAATCATGCTCCTCTTATCTGCACAAACTGGAGTTGCCACTTTAATCCATCCGAGTGTGTCGTGATACGCATAAGTCAATTTTATAACGTTCGACGAAAAACAAATTTTCATTACATTATTCAACTAATAAATAAAGAAAAACTCAAAATGTCTTGGTAATTATTAATTAAACTAAAGCAAAAATCTGTCGCCATCAAAAAAATTAAAATTTCAATGCCTAGCATGAAGATAGTTGGAGATAGGTTGAATCATGCATCTGTAAAACTGACCATTTTGTATTGCTTGTAAATATATATGGCTTATAACTCTTTAACGACTAACTTTTAGGTACAGGGAATGCTCATAAAGAACAATTCTGTTTTTCATTGTGGATCCGATGATAACTTAAATAAGATAATGTAGTTTGAAATTACCAGAATTGAGCACTTGATATCGAGCTTCTTGTATATTTCTGGGTAAAGTAGTTATAATAGTGTAAGATCGAAACTTTCAGTCATCATCAGAAGGTCATCAGTCCTAAGACTGGTAGGACACTCACCTCCACTCTTTGCTATCCTGAGCTAATCTTCGTATTTCCCTAAAACTAGAACATCCCATCATCCTTAACCATTTGCGAACAGTAATTTAATCTTATTCTACTTCTACCCCTCCTAACTCCTGTTTCTGCTTCTTATAAGTCTCTGAGTAGACTTTCATTGAACTTTCAGTATATTATCCTAAAACATCAGCTGTTAAAGTTGATTCTTGTGAAAAATAATAAATTATTATAAATGTCAACCTACTTTTGGCATACATTTTTAAATAGTTATTACTTCTAGAAAACTATCAAACTTTTGCAAGATTGCTGTCTTTTATTTTAATACAGAGTTAATATTTAATAATATATTGGGATTTCAATTTAAAATAACAAGGTTGTATATCTCTCAGCGAAAACAGAACAGATTCACGGATAATTTTTAGAAGTGTACGATAAAAACTGAGATAACTTTTATTAAAACTAACAGTAACGCCGCTGTAGTGGAATGGGTCTTAAATGGGACACCCTGTATATAGTAATATCCCTATATACTGAAAAAAAGCTAAAGTGAATTTGTTTTATAGGTACAGGATGTATTGTTCCTTTCATGTCAGTACTTGCCAGGCAGTTAGGATTTTCGAGTGTAACCGTGGGAATTATCTACACAATTTCACCATTTGCAAGTATGGTTAGTAAACCAACGATGGGAGCATTTTCCGACAGGTGATTATTACTAAAAAATAAACATATATATATCTTTCAACGCTACAGTTGACAGTTTCCTAGCAATAACTGCCTTCTTTGTAGCTATGAGAAAAGTTATTAAATGCAGATGTAGATACAGAGAAACTTTTTCTTCTTTTTTAGATTCCATTGCAAGAAAATTGTATTCCTAGCAGGTATTTTACTTACTGCTTTAGCGGTTTTCCTTCTGAATTTTGCTCCGAGTGTGCCAACTAGTCATAAAATGAGATTTTCATGCAACGACATGTCTAGCACTATGGACACCTGCGTCGATAACTTCACTATAACCGACGATTGCGCCGTCGAAAGCATTACGACGGAAACGGGGAATATCACTGTGAATTGTCAGGTAATAACTTTTTTTAAGTAGCAAACATACTGCAAAATAGAAATTCCATTTCAGTATTCATTCTACGAATGTAACTACCTAACGTTTAATACCTTGTATGGAATGTATCCTGCTGAATATTTTGTATAAGTATTTTCTGGATTTGCAGCAACGCTAAACTAGTCCTGTTAAGAATTTTATAAAAAGAACGTATCTAATATCAATATACGACGCTCGAATTTAGGTTAACGAATACGAATTCCTACTCATGTCAACAAATACGTGGTTCATATCTAGGCTAACAATCATAATAATCAAGATAGAAAAGGAGGCTTTGTTATTGGAAATAATAAATATAAGCAAAGACCTATCCCAAATTCACCGCAACAGTCGAAAATTCTGTATATTTGCAAGAACTTAGCTTCAAGTCGGATTTCATTAACGTTCTTTGTACGTATGTGCTCTCTAAATCGTTAAGTAATCGCCAACCTAACCTAACCTAATTTCGCGACTCATGGCAAAAAGCGAGTCGATTATAAAGCAATGTGATTCGAGGTTGAAGGTATGGCGGCCGCTGTTGAACTTTCATATAAAGTAATACGTCATATTGGTAAACAAATGACTTTTTTGATGAATTTCCATTAATTAAACTAACGGTGCGTAATAAATAAGCACTTAACAAAGCATAAACAAGCCCATATATATAGCAGTGTTATTATTAGATGCAACGCATTGACAATAAAAAAAACTTTTGGGTGTTTCATTCCCACCAGCCAGTAATGCTGGTGGGCGGGCAGTCCCTCCGGACTATGCCGGAAGGTAGGGCGGAAGGCGCTCTTCAACCTGCTTTCAGGAATCGTGGGAACGGGTGGGTGGTGGTTCGGGTGAGAAAGATGAGACGGACGAAATGAAGCAGAAGAGAGTGAAAGATTATCTGTGGAATATTACTGCCTCAGCATTTGTCTAAGTGATCCAAGGAAACCACAGAAAAACTTGAACCAAGGCAGACGGACCCGGAATCAAACCGGCGTCCTCCCGAATGCTAAGCAATGGTCTAGACCTCTACCCCATGCCGCTCGGTATCGACATTATTCATGTTTATTTTTATGTGTTAATTTACATTTGCTTGTGACCTAGTAGGAGGCCTAGCAATCTTAGACTCCGATCGACCGTCAGATTTTTCGCTCGAGGGCTTTATTTTTCATGAGATATAAACAACCAAAGTAGAATTTTCAATACTTAAAACTAAGTTCTTTTAAAAGTACATCGGTAAGCTAAACATCGTTAAATCAGGGGCCCGGGCTTTGTTCCCGACAAGAGAGCGACAGCAACAACACTTTTTCTCATTAATTTGAGATTATCTGTTGTAGATAAAATTAATTCACTAATAAATCTGTTATTTCATTTTTATATTATCAGTAATAATATGTAATAAATTTTACATAAAAGACAAAACCATACGCAGCCAAACACGTAAGCTTCTGGCTTAAATTCTGGAATTAGTTTGAAAGTGAAGCTGAAAGTGGAATAGAAACTCTAATTAAAAATTTTAAACAGAGAATGCCAGCTACTGCAAAGGTTTCGGATAAAACTTGGAGAAACATCGTAAAAGAGAAAACTGAAGTGACTTTAAAAGTTAATCCTGACTTCCGCAGGTCAAAATAAAAGAACACAAGCAGTGAAAACGCAGCTTACTGAAGGGATAGAAACAACCGTTAGAAACATAATACCCAATTTTTATCTTATGGAAAAGCATGGGCTAACCCTTAAAGGTATTAAGCAACCAAATATAGGAAACAAAATATAATATAACTTTCTTCATTAGTAAATTTATGCGAAAGCGGTTATTATTGAACAAACAGGTTATAGTTTTATGAAGTGTCTTACACTCAATTTACAAACCCAATAAATAATTTTACTTTTAAGTTGTAAGGTGTGTCAAATTTCAACATTTCTACATTATGGTTATTGTAGGAAATACTGCTAAAAGTAATTTTTCAAAATCCTGGAAGGTAAATACATATAGATAAATATTATAAAATACTAATGCAGCATATGTTTGCATGCTTAAACACAATTTTTTAAAAATAAGTTGACAGTTTTTTGACTAAATATACATTCCCAAAAGCATTCTCAGTTCTGTAGGAATGGTTGTCCTGATAATTGGATATATGTACATTCCACATTTGTAAAAAATGTTAGCTATCACGGTTGTTTAATTATCACATTAAAATCGCTTATAATTAGTTGAAAATACAAAACGAGCTCCATAGCATTCAAATTTGGTTCTTAAAGAGATTAACACAAAAGTTTTGAAATAAATTTCCTATTCAATTGCTTGCTATCAAAATAAGCTTTAGTGTTTACACATCACGAATGCCAAATCTCGTAGTCACATATAATTTTTTGCCCTTAATTTGGATTGTTGATAATTTCTTTGTAGGGTTTTACAAAATTTTCGGTTTTATAAAATCATCTGTAGTTTTTCTCCACCTGTCCTTTTCTTTTTTCGCTCGATAAATAACTGAAACTTCATAACAATTGTCCAAGTTTACGTACCTTTTCAAGAAGTGGTGTCGTGAAACTTCTGAAAGTTTTGATTTGAAGGCACTTTCTGATTAGGAAGAATTGAACGAATCAGTGAAGTTTTACTGAACTTTCACAGGAAGAAGTTGTAATTTCATTCGAAGTTGCTGTTCTTCCCTTATAACGACTAGAGCTACCAATTTATTAAGAAACTAAATTTTAAGAGATATTAACAGTTCACTACAACACTTAATTCAATTTAAAATGATCCTACGGAATTAATGTATTCTTGGTATTCTCTTATCTAATTGTTACTAAATTATATGAAGTACATAAATGAAATACCAAATTATTGAAAAAGTAAATAAGATGCTTTTTGTGGTAATTCAATATTGTTCAGTTTTAAAGACATTGTACACATTATAAATGTATTATTGCAGTACTAAGATTGTTGCATAAAAATTTTATAATTAGTCGTCACATGAGGCAAAATATGCAGCAAAATTTTTTGTTTTCAAATTGCTTTAGCCACATCATATATATTTAGAAACACAAATGGGCAGAATTTAGTAATATTTGGTCGAATTATAGTTCGATATGAAATGACCATTTAACTGTTACAATTTCATTTTGTTGTGAGAATGTAGTTCATTCTGGTTGAGTTAAAGCAGCCGATTGGAGTAGACGTATTCCCAATTGATAGCAATTATTATATATTGGACCAATTGAAGAAATTAACCTCACTTTTTTCGTTTCAATTCATTTGACTAGACGGCACATTGTAATTACACATGTAGTTTATCAAAATTAGTTCTGCTTGTAGAATATCCTTATTATAAAAGAAAACAGAACAGACGATTTCTAACCATCAGTTATAAGTAAAATAAAATTTAAAAACACAGTTCATATAAACTAAAAATAAAAATTGTTCTTAACTAATACCCCATCATCTTGTCTTGAATATTTATTCTCTATAAATATTCTTTCTTCTTATTTTTGTTCCTGGGTTAATATCACTACGGACGTCACCATCATCATAACGTAGTCAGTCCTAAGACTGGTTGGACACGTACCTCCACTCTTTCCTATCCTGAGCTAAACTTCGCATTTCCCTAAAACTAGAACAACCCACATCCTTAACTATTTGCGAACAGTAATCTAATCTAGGTCTACCTCTACCCCTCCTAACTCCTGTTTCTGCCTCTAATATGTCTCTGACTAGACCTTCATGCCTAAGGTATACCTCTACCCTGGGAAGGTGTCCAACCAACCTATCTCGCCTATTTTTTATTGACTTCCATAGAGTCCTCTGTTCTTCTATTCTTTCTAATACCTCTTCATTTCTAACCTTTTCTATCCACGTTATCCTCATCATTCGCCAATAACACCACATTTCGAAGGCTTCTAACATTTTCTTTTCCGCCGCGCCCACTGTCCATGTTTCGCACCCGTACAACGCCGCGCTCCAAACATACACCTAAACAACCTTTTTCTAATTATATTACTTTGATATTTTTCTTATTTTTCTACTATTATACTCTACTTATTTTTTTCCCAGTATGTTAAAGACCATGCTGGTAACCAACCTTTATTATAATGGGTACCCTCCAAACATCTGGACTACTAAGGTCTAACCGCCTCAGCGCCTTGAAGCACACTCTCCCGAATCCCATCACGCACCTCGCGACACCTTAACCCCCACTTAAACCCTACCGTTACTGTCACCCCTTTCTCCACATCGTTACCTGTGTATGCTCTGCATATCATTGATTAAAAATAAATTCTTCAATTCAGCAAATTCAATGTTTATCACTGTATCTGTAATAAAGTCGTATTGCTTTAATTAAAAAAACGTTAAGCACTGAAATCTATTAAATTAGATATAGTTCACAGACCATTTGCAATTGTTCCAGTAATAGTAAATCTTGTACTATATGAACTATAATGTTAAAATCAATTCAGTGCTTTTCCAATAATCATTAGCATTAAATTTATCAAATCGTTAACGAACATTGTGAAAAATGTATAGTAACCTTATTACTAAGTGTACAAACGTTGTACGTTGCACGCCAAATTAATATTGTGTATGTTTGGAGCGCGTTGACATCACTTCTTGAAAACGTACGGGTGCGAAACATTGACAGTGGGCGCAGCGGAAAAGAAAAGGTTAGAAACTTTCCAAATGTGGTGTTATAGGCGAATGATGAGGATAATGTGGGTAGAAAAGGTTAGGAATGAAGAGGTATTAGAAGGAATAGAAGAACGGTGGACTCTGTGGAAGTTAACAGAAAATAGGCGAGATAGATTGGTAGGACACCTTCTCAGACATGAAGGTCTAGTTAGAGACATATTAGAAACAGAAACAGGAGTTAGGAGGGGTAGAGGCAGACCTGGGATAGGAAAGAGTGGAGGTACGTGTCCAACCAGTCTTAGGACTGACTACCTTATGATGATGATGATGATGATGGTGATGATAGTTATTTAGATTGTGATTTCGTTAAAGAATAAAAATTCACTGTTTTATTTAAAACATTTACTTAAACTTCTATGCTATCAATAATATTAAATAATAGTAAAATTTCAACGTTCAAAATAAAACTTAAAACAATTATTAAATTCGCCTGACAATGAAAACTATTTTGGGTGGATTACTGGTGAAAAACTGACTTGTGGGAGACTTGAAATCTGAATTGTGAATTGCTTAATGTTGCCATACAACTCTTTCTATAAACAGGTAAACTGCTAAATATTATTCTAGCGAGGGTGAATAACTAGAATTAAATATAACAAACAATATAGAAAATCCTATCATTAAATACTAACACAATCGCTATATATAACATTCCTTTTCAGTTTATAAGGGTTCTGTGAATACCCACGTAAAATGTAAACTAGTCCTGTTGTCACTAACATACTATTTATAAAATTACAAATGTAAATTTTAATTGGAAACATTTTATGTACAAAAAAAAGAGAACAACTTAGGATTTAACACTAAGTTTAATGTTTATGATTTCACAGATGACGTGTCAAATGGACTCTTCAGCCTGGAGAACCGTATGTAACGCTTGGAATATGGCGCAATACTGCAACACCAATTCATCTACGTTGTCCTTTACTGCGACAACTCCAGCAAATTCAGCCAGAATGATAAACGAGTGCCTTAGATTTAATATAGGTAAGTAATTAGTTTTACAATTGCGATTGGGTGTGATACTAAAGTAATGCAATTGTTATACATACGAGGTGTAAGAATTAAGTTCCAGGAAGCGAACAGTAAGCGATTTGAAATTATTCTTGGTATGCAGTGGTTCTAATATCTAAAAGATTATTGGAGTATTGTAAATGTAAGTAAGTTATTGTAATTAATTCGACAACCCTCATTTACGCTGCATAAGCATATATGCCTGTCGAAAACAATTTCCGAGAAAATAATGCAGTTCTACGATTACTACGTCAGCCAATTGTTAGAAAACAGTCATATTTCCAAAGAAATGTGGAATTGCCATTTAATCTCGATAATTTCCAAATGTTATACTGTCAATTTCATATTTCATTACAAGAGAGCGCAAATCCTACAAATGACGCGGTAAACGTCATCTGTAGTACAATGCTATATTTAGTGGAGTTCAATACGCTCAACCAGATCGATTTAAATAGATGAATATTTACCAAAATCTTGGTAGATTAAAATTTATGTAAAACAATCGCATAGCTGTTTTTTTAATTACTATCAACATGAAAAGTTTCAAACGGAGATAAATATGCTTTCTAATTTTAAAGCAATTCATAACTTTTATTTAATTTTATTTGTAAAACTAGCAAACTGAAAAACATTCATTTTTACCATGTTGAGATTTTGAGCTTTTCTATTCTCTTCAAAATTTTTTTCAGAACTGTCGCAAAGTGGGTCATAATTTAAAAAAATGAAATGTCCATTTTTATTTTCTTTGAAGCATTCCTCACAACACATCTAACAGATTCTTGAGAGTTTTTGACATTCTCTTCTGAAAAATGAAAATACATTCGGTGGCGTGAAATAATTTCATCTTTTCCTTTGCTTACCTACAAGTAAAATGAAATTTCGCAGTATACATAAAATATTTTTTTTAGTAAGCAGGGACGATTTTCTATTATTTTAGGGCAATTTTCATTTCATAGAAGGTATATATTTCATCGTTTGAATGTAGTTCATTCTGGTTGAGTTAAAGCAGCCGATTGGAGTAGACGTATTCCCAATTGATAGCAATTATTATATATTGGACCAATTGAAGAAATTAACCTCACTTTTTTCGTTTCAATTCATTTGACTAGACGGCACATTGTAATTACACATGTAGTTTATCAAAATTAGTTCTGCTTGTAGAATATCCTTATTATAAAAGAAAACAGAACAGACGATTTCTAACCATCAGTTATAAGTAAAATAAAATTTAAAAACACAGTTCATATAAACTANATTAATTCAAAAAATATTTTTTATTTTAACTATAAGTATTTGGTAATGCTTAGACCATTAAAACAGAATAAAACTCAAAATATTGGATAAGACGTAAAGGCTTACTTGCCACCACAGAATTTAAGAACAAATTATGATGATGAGAATGAAAGATGAAAATGTCATTTTGTACTTAACAAATTTACTAAAATTATTGATGAGCACTTGAAAAGATAATTTACAAGTGTTTCTAAAATAGTCCACTTGTGTACCCGTGTAATTACGAAACACTTTTTTGTATTTGCTTTGTTTTAATTTAACGAAGAAAAATCTAATACCCTCTGGTAACATTAGACAGAGCTGAGGATTCAGACCTATTATTTCAAAATTTTTAGAAGTGCGGTTTTAATAACCGCTCATTAACATTGTTTTCATACAGTCTTCACCGGATCTGGCGGTAGTAGGTAGGCAACTGAAATTCGTTGTTCTAATTAGAATTTTAATAAAGGGGTGAAAAGAATATACGCATTTAATTACCTAACCGCAGTGATTAGGGCGACTATTAAAAAAATTAATTTTTGATGATTTTGAAGCATTAGACTGTCAAAAATTATTATTACCGTTGTTCAGTATTTCAGACTGAACCATTACATTCTAGGAAGCCTTTCTTTGTATGTACGTATTTGTTTATTTACCGATAGTTCTAGCCGTAGTTTATTGCTACCCTTAGTCCATTGTGTAGTTAAGTTCATTTATACCCCTATCATACAGTTTACAATAGTCAGCCGTTCTCGGAACTATTCTCACCAAAACATGTATATTACAGTTTCAGCTTTCTAATAACCAGTTTTCAAAATTTTCCCCCCTTAGATTAAGTTATTTCTGTATACTTATTTATATATACATGTTTTGGTGAGCCATCATTCAAAAAAGAAGCATATCATCTGTTCACCAACCAATATTTAGCAGATTCTGATTTGAACAAGTATGACAACCCTACTCGTCCTTTTTCGAAACCGAACGCGCCGTGATTTACAGTTAGAAACTGGGAGTCATGTCGGAAAACTAAATTAATATCACTTACCTTTTGACAATATAATATTTAATTACGATATTAATATTCTGCATGAACAAATATTAAGTGGGCATTAAATTCCATTTATTTTAATGTATAAAAATTATGTGACGTCACTATGTGCGTACACGCTAATCTCCGATATTACTCAAATTATTTCAATAAAATTTTGTGAATGTGTATGGTTGGTTCTTGAAAGATAAACTTTTTTATTTAACTTTATTAATGAAATTTTTGTTTATTTCATTTAGATTTCTTATTCAAACCCAATTTCAATTTCCCAAAATCCTGATCATTCAATATTTTTTTATCCATCATCAAAATGCTTTTTAGGTTCCGACGAGTTCGCGGGTAACAGCTCATCACCATAAGACCGTCAGTTCTAAGACTGGTTAGACACGCACATCTACTCTTCCCTATCTTGAGCTAATCTTCGCATTTCCCTAAAACTAGATAATCCCACATTCATAACTATTTTCTAACAGTAATCTAATTTGGGCCTACTTCTACTCCTTTTAACTCCTGTTTCTGCCTCTAATACCTATGTCGTTTATTTTTTATTGACTTCCATAGAGTCCTCTGTTTTCTTATCCTTTATAATATCTTTTTATTTATAACCTTCTCTTTTCACGGTATCCTCATCATTCGCTTGTAACACCATATTTCGAACGCTCTTAACCTTTTCTTTTTCGCTGCGCCCACCATCCATTTTTCGCACCCGCGCTCCAAACATACACCTTTAACTATTGCCGTCCTGATGACATATTTGACTTCCTAGATACCTAAAATCTTTACATTCGCTCTTTCCCTACTTTTTCTTCCCCTGCATACCAGTATTTTTGTTTTACTTTTATTTATTTTCATACAATACGTTTTGTCAATGCCGCATCAATTTTATTTAAAGCTATCTTTAACTCCTCCTTGCTAGATGCTAATATTGCTATATCATCTGCAAACCTAAGCATACCAATCTTTTGCCCTTGCACATCTATCCCTACAGTTGTACTATTTTTAATGATGTTGATCGCTTCTCTGATATATAGATTAAAAAGTAGCGGTGACAGTGTGCATCCTTGTCTGAATCCCTTCCTAATATTTACTTTATACAAACTAAGTATCACTCTTCTATCTTTGTAACTCATCCCTACATTCTAAAGTATATTTAACATCTTGTCCCATTTAACACTGTTTTTTCTAAATCTACAAATCCTATGTACGTATAATTTCCCTTTTTCTACCATTTTCTCTATTGTTACCCGTAAAGCTATAATGGCCTCCCGCGTTTATCTATTTCTTCTGAACTCAAATTGATCTTCCCCTAATAGTTCTTTCGCCCTTTTTTCCATCATCCTCTGTACAATTCTAGTTAAGATTTTAATCTATTCATCTCAATTTTTAAATTTTCCAATTTCCCTACAAAAGAGTGATACAATTCAAAAATTGATTCGTTAATAAATACTATTTTACAGAGTATCTTTGTGACAAAATTACTAAATAGAATATAATGCAAATTATTTATTAAAGCCTGGTTCCACGGTTCTCCATAAAGAAATATTACTCTCAGGAATATACCAATTGGAAGTGTAATAAAAAGTTTTTTGGTTAACACAAGCTGTTCTTGCTGTAAGCTTATACTTATACTTTTTCTTTTACTATTAAAGGTAGTATTAATCTAGACGGAAATACTTTTACCCCATTATGTCCAGCTGGCGGACAAATAGAATCTTCATGCGATATTGAATGCGACGCTCCAGCTTTAAATGAACTGGTTGCAAATCCTCTGATTGCCGATGATGAAGTTTATGGTCACAGCGCTTTTTGGGTGGTAATGTTGCTGTATGTGCTGATATGGATTTTCCAGGCTGTTGCTGTAACCAATAGTGATGCCATATGTTTTCATTTATTAGGTATGTTCCTCAATTTTGTATTAATGTTATACTCATAAAGATAGAAAATTAGAGAGTACTTAGAGGTATAAAAAAAATTATTAATATAAAAAAGATTTGACGTTGACTAAATAAAACAATATTAAAAATTTATATTGCGGTGTATACAACTGTTACAAAATTTTTTACAAATAAAAAGTAGGTATAGTACCTAATATAAGTTTATTTTGTAATATTGGTGCAATTGCTCAAGGTAAATATGAAAACTGTTATAAACCCCTTTTATTCAATATTGAATATTCAAAATGTAAAATGTACCTATGTAGTTACTGACCAAGACCTTTACAAATTTGGCTTATGTGTTCACGTACAGGGTGTCTTACGGGGACGGCTCACTGTAATATTTCAGAAACTACAGTTGTTGAAAATTTCAAAAGTTTGTACGAAGGCGTTATTGGTTATACCGGATGTTGACTTCAACATCATTATTTTAAACGGAACACCCTATATATAATGACGGTTTTGAATTTTACTTATGATTCTAGGTAGATTTTCATAAGGCTTTTCTACCTCTAAAATTTACCGTTTTCGAAAGAAAGTAGCGTAGAATAGTAGGCAGCGAAAAAACATAGCATATTTTAAACTAATAAAAGTGAAGCAACAACATTCTCAGGAGAAATAATTATACCCTCAAACTTTCCGTCCATAATTTCAAAGTGGATTAATTACATACAGGGTGTTAGATATTTAAGGGGAAATTTTCTTAATTTCAAACACTTTTTTTTTTCAAATGGAACACCCTGGATGTATTCTCATAGATTTTGCAGAATTTTATTAACTTGAATAAAATAATTCGAAGTGATCTGTATTCTGTCGAAACTGCCAGACGTGGATCGCGTTTTCGATCTTTTTTGGATCTCATCAGCGCGTCGCAGACAGCTCCGACAGAACGCAGACCAACTTTTACCTGCTGCCTTAACAACGCGTTGCAGAAAATACCACAAATGGCGCGGTAAACGCCATCTGTAGTACGATGCTACATTTTTAGCATTACGTATGCTCCAACAAGGTACATTTAAATATATGGATAGTCTTTACTTGCTGAAATGAATCCCGGCGTAGCTAACCTCAACGTGATAGTCACGTTACCATAATCGAATAAAATATTTCGAAGTGGTCTGTATTCTGTCGAAACTGCCAGACGCGGATCGCGATTTCGATCTTTTTTGTATCTCATCAGCGCGTCCATACCATAATCGAATAAAATAATTGTAGCATACGTAATCCTAAAATGTAGCACCCTACTACAGATGGCGTTTACCGCGCCATTTGTGGTATTTTCTTTATTTTCTTACCCATCTCCTCTAATTTCATAATTATTTACTGTTCTGTGTGAAAGCAACTAAAACAGTTTAATTTTTATGAAGATAGCTGTGAAATTAACAGAATTTCAAAACAAATAATACAACTTAGTTGTTGTTACTTAAACACCCATACTGACAGCTTACTAATCAAATATTATGATTCTCATGTCAGCTGGTGTTTTTACTATTGTTATCGATCGTCTACTGTATTATAATTGATTTCTTAATATTCTTCTCAATTTAAATACGAATCTTCATTTTCCATCTATCAAATAAAATTCAATAATTGATATTGACATCAGAATGAAAATATTTAATTACTAAGCTCTCAGTATAGATGTGTGAGTACAACAATTAACTTGTATTAGTTGTTTTGAAGTTTTGTTAATTTCAGTCATCAAAAAATTAAGCTATTTTATTTGTTTTCACAAAGAACATTAAATAATTATAAAATTAGAGATGGGTAAAGGGAACGATAGTATCATTCCATAGTGAATAAAATTCTGCATAAATCATACAGAGTGTTCCATTAGAATTAATGCACTTACAATTGTTTGAAGTTACCAAAATCAGTCATTAAATATATAACACCCTATATGTAATTAACCCACTTTGAAAGTATGAACGGGAAGTTTAAGGGTATAGTTATCTCTCCTGAGCATATTGTTGCTCCAGCTTTATTAGTATAAAACGGGCATGCTTTTTCGCTACCTACTACTCTGTGCTACTTTTTTTCGAAAACGGTAAACTTTAGAAATAGAAAAGCCTTATAAAGGTCTACCTTGAATCATTAGTAGAATTCAAAACCGTCATAATATATAGGGTGTTTCATTAAAGTAACGAAGTTGATGTCAACCTCCTGTATAACCGAAAGAGCTACATGCCGTTATTTTAATTGCGTAGAGCATACCCAATAACGACATTGTACAAATTTTTTCGTTTTATATCGAAGTAGTTTCAGAAATATTCCAATAGGTTATCAATGTAAGACACCCTGTATATTTGCTTCACTCTAGATTAAATTTGACCAGTAGATGGCGACATTGTGCCCATAACTTGATATTATACCAACTTGCATTTGTGGATATACTTCGTCTTAGTCAGTAACTTTTTGAAATCGTGATCCACGTCTCCTTTAGATTGGTTGCTGAGCTTAATTTTCTTTCCTGTCATAAATTATTTATTTATAATGAACGTGCTTTTCTGGTTACCACCATAAGTTAGAGTTTTATAAAACTAGGTACCTGATAGAGAAGCATCTTGATAATGTTCTTATGCATTTGTATAGAGAAAGCACCACACAAGTACGGATATCAGCGACTATGGGGCGCAGTAGGTTGGGGAATTTTTACATTCTGCTGCGGATATATAATAGATTTTCACAGTCAAGGAAAAAGTCAAAAGGATTACACACCAGCAATTTATTTAGGAATGGGAATGTTAATTCTCAACTTTATTGTTGCCTTCTTTATAAAGGTAAGACGTCTTACAAAATAGAAATAAAAGTGTTACCTATTTATCACTTTAAATACGTTCAAGATAATAATTCTTCACTAAAATATCTACTTTTCTCATAAAACCGAGCATACGTTCTTGTATTCAATAATATTAAGGGTTGACTTTACTAACCGGAACACTGGCGGGTACGAGGGAAGAGGGAGAAGGACAAGGGGGTTAGGAAAAGCTTCTCTACGAGGAAGGGAGGTGGAGAAACATAGGAAAAGAGATCACCCTTTGAGATTACTCCATAAATTATTTTTGAATACATAATTAGTATCTTACTACATGATAAGAACATGGGAAGGGTAGCGGATAAGCGTCACCTAAGTAAACTTTAATTTTAAATAAAAATTGTTTCATTTATTACGTATTACCTAATATGTAAAGTTAAGATATGATAGGGAAAGGTTTCCCTGATTCGTTTAGAGAATAGGCTTATTTATCGAAAATAGATGGTTTCCGCTACTCCCTCCTTTTCCTACTTATCAGTTCCCCAAAACAGTTATTATGTATAGAAAATTTCATGGAATAACCTCAAAATTTGATTCATCGAATTGTTCCTTTCGGTTTCAGCACCTCCCCTTCGGGTAAAAGGTTTTTTGTCCACCTCTACTATCACCATCCCCTCTAGCACTCATTATTATGTTGAATGTTACTAAATCAACACCATAATCATTAATGTCGTAACATGTTGAAACTTATTCATAATAAATTAAACACTAGTTTGGTGTATGTTTCAAAAATATTTATTTAGACGCTCTGCGTAGGTAAACGCAAATTTAATAATACTTGTTTGTCTGCAGTACATACACTACATCCCAATCCTTATGTCCATATAGTATGGACAAAATGACACAATAAATATGGATATAATGACATACCAAAATTTTAAGGACAAAGTTCGCAAATAAATCTTTTAGGCTTTTTTGAGACATCAGCACAAGAAGCGTGAGCCCAACGAAAAGAATTCATGCATTTTAACCAGCTTTCTCCCGCAAATAAAGATAATTGCAATAAATGCAGGGGCAGTCTTCTTCATCCTCGTTTTCGACGGAAAATTCTTCATTATCGGAGCTGGAATCAGTAGTTTGAGCAAATTAACGCTGCCTCTTTGGTATCTGTCTTTTTTCTGGAGCTTTAATATTAGTGCTTTTGGAACTAGGATTTTTTTTGCTATTAGGTTTGCCATCATCAAAAAGCACTTTTTTGCCTGTCTTTTCTTTTTTGCGGGTGGAACAAGAGATTCCTTCACATTTGGTTCTAAATCTGCATCCTCAGAAACACGTCTTACCACATCGGTACTATGTGGTTGCTCTTAGTCATCTTGTGTCATATTGGTTGGTTTTGTTGTATTTTGTATAGAATGGTCCATCAAACTTTTATTATATTTTTACTGAGGAACCTACGCCAAAATCAAATGTGTTTTCCGTTTCTTCTTGGGTTGGACTAGTGTTTACGTGTTTAGTTTAGCTTTAGACTGACTTGTTGGTTCAAACATGTAGTCTGGGAAAACATCAGCATTTACTGGTCATAAACCTGTACTTTTAAAGCTATTACTTGCATTTTAAACCGTTGCAACCTTTTTCCATATGCTTGAGCAAACAAACCTTCGATTTGTAAATGGGTAACAACGCGCCCTGGATGATTTTTTAACCACTTGGAGATTTCTTGATTGAAATATGTTTTTAATGGTCCGTAAATACTGACGTCCAAGGGCTGCATTCGATGAGTGCAGCATGGAGCCAGACACAGCATATGAATGCCATTTTCTTTAGCTTAAGTCAAACATTCAATGATTTTGTGACTTGCGTAACCATCACAAGTGAGAACAACTGGGTCCTCCTTACTTGCTTTCGTGCATAGTTGAAAATGTTTTAACAGTTTTACAAGCACCTCTGTGTTCATCCATCCTGATTCTTGTGCTAGTCCTAGAGTGCCGGTAGGAGCTACATCTATTAGTTCATTTTTCAGATTTTTTCTGGAAAAAATCATACATGGTGGATTAAATGAAACAATGGCATTTGTACAATACACCACCGTTACATTCGAACTTCTCTCAGCACTTGTGAGACAGCCGATTTGTTTTCTGCCGTTTTTGTGGTTTTTGGACTGTGGTGAAACAAAACCCCCCCCCCCACCATACGCACGCACGCCGCATATATGTACACACACACACACACATACAGGCACACACATACACAGAGATAAACACACACACACATTTACAAATTCATCTTACCAATTTTTCGATGCGCATTCAGTTATTGTACTCTTGATCAACGCGCGAGATAAGGGTGTACTGACTCAATTGGCTTAAATTGTATCTTGATCATTTTTTTAGAAAAGCTAAAGGATGCACAATTGCGAAACGAACATTTTGAGTACGCGCTGTTTCATTATACGTAACACAGAAAAGGGTCAACACAAATGTACCATTCAAGACACTGTTATAATGTTTAAAATATTGCAACATTAAGAGGATATTTATAAATTAGATGAAACTTTTTGCAAAAAAGAATTAATTTCGTTCTCGTGGTAAATTGATTCCATTTTTGATGGAAATGTAAACACACATTTGAAATCTTCTGTTCTATAAATTATTCTGCGATTGATGTACATCCGAACAGACGATATTTGCAAATGCAAATTGAATATTTAAAATTAATTAAAAATACACATTCATAAAATCCGGGAGGCTTTAGAGGCAGCAGTACATAAAATTCAAAAATTTAACTTGGCGTATGGTCACATTCCAGTGCAAATCAATTAAATCGGAATCGATGAACTAATCAACTGGCATATTAAACAAGCAAACATTGTCGATTGCCGGGGAGATAGAAAGATCCATTTTACATAAAAGAAGATTAAGCCGCTTCAGTTTCAACTACAATTCGTTGTATCAATAATACATTCATTGGATTGAAACTTATAAAAGTACGCTAAATTTTTCTGACTAGACAAATATTACAATTCTACGGGAATCAATTTCAACATTTCTAATTTTTACTAATTATATTTTATTTTTGAAGTGACAAGCTATAGAGGGTTTTAACTAGATGCAATTGGAAATTGCATGATGAATAAAATGTTAAAAAAAACATAAGCACTCACTCATGAGGAATGTCAAAAGAAGTGAAATTTGTAGAACTATGAAATAGCATTGTCTTTTCTCAAATTAATTGTAATATCAATAATTAAATTAAAATTGCATAATTTGTAAATTACGATTATTAACATTAGTCTGTTTTTTTTTTTTAATTTAAACCAATTAACAAGAATTTCGTAAAATTATATTTTGCAATAAAAGAAAATACTTTCTGAAATGAAAATTAGAGCCTTTTTGCAATTTTTTTATCTAAAAATTTCAATAGTGTAAGATAATAAACCATAATTTTGCATTAGTAACTATATCTTCAAAATTTAACACATAAATGTAACATTATTGTAAAATTTTATAGAAAATTAAAATCTGTGATAAAAATATTATCAAACAAATGGAAATCTGTTTTAGTAAGATAACTTCTAAGCTACTATGAAGTATTCATTGCATGATATGTTGCAAAGAGAAGAATAAATAACATCAAATGTTTAAAAGCAAATATTGATACTATTATTGTATATATTTGAATATAAATGCTTTGCTTTCGTTATTCATTTTCCTACATAAAAATATTTTGTGCGCACAAAAAATTTTAACGAACACGATTAATGTGTTGGTGTATACGTGTACAGTCCGCTGCGCGTGCGCCTTGGTATCAACGCATGTCGGTGACGCGAATCCATAAGTTCGATCAACGCGCTTAAAGAGGCTTTCACTTCAAAAATTTCTAATAATACCTACAATCTGAGGCCGCTCCTGGGCGTGAATTGACAATACAGGTATTAGTACAGCGAATTATGACAACAGCTAATAAGCAACTACATTGATGGAGAATGGAGAATGTAAACAGTACCGGTTGTGGAACGACCAACATAATATAATAATGCAAAAAATTAATAAATAAGAACTTTGTTCATCGCTGCTAGCATACAGCACCATTTATGGTACGCCTCAACATGGCATTGGGAACATAAAATAAAGATAACATTAACGTTACGTAAACACGAATAAGTAAATTAAAATTCTCTGGAGAGGTAATTGTAGTTTTATTACATGTAAGGCAACTTCCCATGCTACCATTGAGGTGTTGCCAAGATGCGTTACCTACATTTTTAATGGGTGGTTCTCTAAAAGACCTACCTTCCTATTACACAAAATCAATTGTAACAGCAGAAAAACACACACACATTTGTTTGTATGTACATAAATAATACCGAAAGCAAAATTGTGTTGGGATAAGCACTACCCATATTTTTGGTCTGGTATAGAGACGTCACATTACTGGAACTAAAAAAATCTTGGTTGAATATACTTATGTTCGTACTTGAAGCAACTTAATTCCTTAACTTAAGAAAATAAAATTCTGAAAGTAAGGAATTAAACTTTCTAGTACTGAGAAGAACTTTCAATTTCGAATTTTTAATTAAAAGCAATAGGTCTTCAATTAAAATGCATATAGTTTTAAGTATACAATACTATGATTCTTCAATTAATAGTTAAAGTATTATATTTCGAGAAAGAAACGTTTTGGTATGAATATGACTTACATGATGAGATAGAAATTACTTGACTCAATAATTTTCAGTTTGTAATTTCAAGATAGTATTCTTAAATTACTACTGCACTGCTGGAATCAAGATAATACTTTTGTTGCAGTATGATGAACCGACACACAAGCCAAATATCTTTAGAGATGTGGGACGACTTTTAACAAATGTTCGTTTCCTCGTATATATCGTGTGGTCTATTTTTGTGGGAATATGCGTAGCGATGGTATGGAACTTTCTATATTGGGTGGTGGAAGATATCGCTGCTGAAGCTGGTTGTGACTCAACGACATGGATTAAAACTCTTGAAGGTCTCATGCAAGTTATGCAGGTACAGCAATATCGATTGTTTTAAGAAACAACCTTTTTTCTAAAACCTTATGTAGACAGTAGGCTTGTACAAATTGTCCCAAACAGACCAAAACGAGTATGCGTACTGAGTGAAGACCTCAATACTTAGCATCTATGTAGTTATGCTATTCGATTTTTAAGAATTTTAAGGGTACGAATATTCTTTGTAATCGTTGCTCAGCTTTTACATTCAATAGAATTGCACAATTTCTCTAGTTTCTACCTCAAAATCTTTGTTATTCAATTGGTGTGTGTAAGCTTCTCTTTCATCAAGAAGTCGACACGTGGATTATTTGGTTGGACTTACATCTAAAGAATACTTAGTTTGCTGGGTCACATTAGATACAGTTTAATTAAAAGAAAAAAGCAATAGTATCAGCAAAAGATATCCTGCTACTGTGGAAGTGAAGTGATACCTAAAATTTTCGCAGTTGATGCTGATAGCACTTGCAGTTGCATTGCATTAAATGAATAAGTGAACAAGCACAATATTATAACTACTGTGTATACTTTATAAATAAGTAATAGAAGATGATACTATATTCTATTTTAGAATATCTAAACAATGCATTCACATCTTACTGACGGTTGACAAACTGGGTCCGTAAAATACGCCCATATAAGTTTGAGATCTTAGTCACAGTTGAGCGTGGTCCAAAGCATGGATGCTGCATGGAGTACCGCGAAGAGTTTCACAAAGAACGATTTGTACAATTTGTATCCGTGCCTTGACTCTACACCCGAAACGGTGTAATGTGAACCATTATTAATTTTTAGCTACTTGCTACGATCAGCCCATGCGAAAACGCAACTAATACAATTTAGGCACCACTGTACGAGATCTGTTCAAAAAGTATCGCGAATTTAGTGTTTTTTCAAAAATTATTTATTTTTTTAATGAATCTAATTTGTTCCCTTTAAAGTAATCCCCACCATATATTATACAATTGTGCCAACATTTTTCCTAAAAGTCCTACAATCCCTGAAGCACTTCCAAAATTCCTTTTTGTGATCTTATTCAGCTCCTCCTTCGATGCCATCTTTATCTCCTCAAATGGCAACGTAGCGTCGTCTTTTCATGGGCCTCTTCAGTTTCGGGAAGGAGAAACACTCACAGGTGTCTAAATTTGAAGAATACCGTGACTGCGGTTAGTAGTGTGTTATTTTTGGCCAAAAATTCGCTCAAGCAACGATGTATGAGCAGGAGCGTTATCATGGTGGAGAAGCCAATTTTTGTTCTTCCACAAATCCGGGCGTTTCTTGCGGATCCTTTCGCGCAAATTTCGCATGACTTGCAGGTAATATTTCGTAATGACCGGTCTACCCTGCGACAAGAACTCATGATGCACCACGCCCCTGCATTCGAAAAAAACTGTAAGCGAAACCTTTACATTCAACCTAACTTGGCGCGCTTTTTTCGGTCTTAGCTCGTGCGGAAACCTCAATTGGAATGATTTGGTTTCACGTCATAACCATAAGCCCATGGGTTCGTCGCCAGTTATGACTGTTAAGAGAAAATTTGGTTCGTTACGGACAGAGCCCAACAGGTCCTTAACAACGTTAATGTGATGCTGTTTTTGGTTGAAATTGAGCAATTTTGGTACGAATTTCACGACGACCCATCTCATGCCCGAATCATTAGTAAAAATCGAATGGCAGGAGCCAATCGATATGTTTAGCTTGTCAGCAACTTCTCTAACGGTGATTCGACGATTGACCACTATTATTTTCTTCACTTAATCAATATTTTCGTCTGTTGTTATGCTCGAGCGTCAGGCACGCGTTTCGTCGTTCACATCTTCTCGGCCCTCTAAGAACATTTTGTACCACCGATAAACGCTGCTTCGGTCCAACGTAACTTCACCGTATGTCACAGTCAAATTGGAGATGCGTCTGTGCACTTAATTTTTGTTTTTCACAAAAAATTTGCTATAGATTGTTTGATCCATTTGTTGGAATAAGCAAAAATGGAAGACGAGTCAAAACACGTTCAAGCAAAGTAACTGTCAAAAATTAACTGAACATTCTACATGGCCGAACTTGTCGCTATAAGTGAAAGAGGTGAGTACCAACATAACGCTACAAAAATAATCGAAAACCAAACATACGTGACTCTCGGAAATTCAAAATTCGCGATACTTTTTGAATAGATCTCGTATGTGCACCACTACACCTCACCTGAAAGGTTTTAATGCCCTTGCCTACATTCCTATGTCTATGACACTTAATCTACCGCTATGAACATAGTGGTAGTAGTGAAATATTACTGAGTAAAGTTGAGCAAAAATTACAAAAAAAAAATACAACTTGGAAAATAATGAAAATCAGATCGTGTACTTACGTAAAAGTTATTTTGATAGGCCTTTAGGTTCTCAATCGCATCCTCGCTTTGGTGCGTAATTATCTGACACTCTGCGCATGCAATCAATTCTGCATAACCCAGGACACTTGTGTTGTAGTGTTTAGCTGGAGAGCTTCCTTTCTTTTTCCTTTCCGGATGGATATTGAAATATGTGGGTCACGTTAACTGTATGACTTTGGTAACTTTTGTTCTTGGAATAAGATTTATGTTATATTCTATTATCAAAAATCCATGGTTATTTCTACCAGTAGAAATGCTTAATGGAATAACCTTCGGATTGTTCTATAGTACCCTGGCATCATATGCAAGTTTGGTAGCACCTCCTGGCGCCGAAACCACCTGTCAGGTATGTTTATTTTAATGCTTATTAACGTTTGCAATATAAAATGTATCACAATTTATCTATATGGAGTATATTCCGTTGCAGGGAATTGCGGGTGCAGTTTTTGAGGGCGTAGGAGTCAGTTTGGGAAGCCTGATGGGAGGATATCTTATAGAGATTTACGGAGGATCCATGACGTTTAGAATACTCAGTATAGCAGCGTTTGTATTTTCCGTATTGCACGCTTTGGTTCAGTTCATTCTTCAAAAGTGTTCTCCAAATAATGCACCTAATTCAGATAAAAACTTGAGTGAATAAAATAATTTTACAATACGCCTGTTTTTTTAGTTCATACTTTAGACTCGATTTGTTCTGGTGATAGGACGAAGAAATAAAAATAACGCGAAAACGGTAAACTATTTAATGTATAAACAAAACAAATCTTAGACTAGAAATAAAATATGAAATTGGCGCGTAATGTTACAATTTTGAGATAGATGAATTTTTGTAAAAAGGGTGATAACCAATAAGATACTGGTGAAATCTCGAAATGCCGTTTAGAAGAAATACTGAGAATTTAAGTTTATACCCATCATCATCATCATCATCATAAGGTCGTCAGTCCTAACACTGGTTAGACACGTACCTCCTCTCTCTACTCTTTCCTATCCTGAGCTAAACTTCTCATTTCCCTACAACAAGAACAACCCTCATCCTTAACCACTTGGGAACAGTAATCTAACCTAGGCTCTTAACTCCTGGTTCCGCCTCTAATATGTCTCTAACTAGACCTTCATGATTGAGAAGGTGACCTACCAACCTATCTCGCCTATTTTTTATTGACTTCCATAGAGTCCTCTATTTTCCTCTTCTTTCTAATACCTCTTCATATCTGACATTTTCTACCCACGTTATCCTCATCATTCGCCTATAAAACCACATATAATTGCAATTAGGAAACAGCAGTTAGTATACAGAATTGAATTGTTAAAAGGGATAATAGGAAAGTATGTATAGGCAATTAAATAGTCGTTTAAGCGAAGAATAGTTACAGAGCAGTTAAAGAGTTAGTATAGAAATAGAATTATAAGAAAAAAAATATTTACACAATAATAATACACGCAAATATAAGTAATAAAGTTAAACAGACATAGAAAATACCACAAATGGCGCGGTAAACGCCATCTGTAGTACGATGCTACATTTTAGGATTACATATGCTTCAACAAGGTCCATTTAAAAATATGGATATTTACTTGCTGAAATGAATCCCGGCGTAGCTAACCTCAACGTGATAGGCACGTTACCATAATCGAATAAAATAATTTGAAGTGGTCTGTATTCTGCGACACGCTGATGAGATCCAAAAAGATCGAAATCGCGATCCGCGTCTGGCAGTTTCGACAGAATTATTTTATTCGATTAAACAAACATATCAACAAATATACAAACACACACTTGNTATATTATATTCTAATCATGTTCAGATTTCAATTCTTCTATATTTACGTTTGAGTGCAAACATTTATCTACTAGCAGGTAATTTACATTAGCTAGATAGCAATTATAGCAACATTTGCCCATCCGTGTGCAAGAACCCAGTACCATCAATACCAAACATTTTTACTGTTGCACTTATTTAATTTTATGTAGTAAGTATATTATATATATACTGTACGTTTACCTAAAAATCACATACACAAATGTATCTTCACTTCTAGCAGTTCTCTTTAAGTAACAAGTTTAAAAGTATTCATAGGTGATCGTTGTCGACGAAACTTCTTAGAATTTATAATACGAATTATTTCTTTAAGTGCGCAACAAGCAGGAAAGCGTATTTTATTTTTCCGGTGTTGCAAATTGCTAACGTGCAATTAATCTTTAACAATTATCTCTAATGGTATCTTCGTCATTTCTGATTTTTATGCAAAGTATTAACGTATTGCAATGGCTCAGCATTTCTATTTGCTTTTCTAAAGATGTTTTGAAGCTAATGTAACCAACTTTCTACTATTTATTGAAGTGAAACTTCTTTACGCACGGTAGGGTAAGTTCGTTTCATGCGAGTTTCTATGTAACGAAATCATGTAACGGATGTCCCCCCTCTATTCGGCCACGTAGTCGAGTTCGCAGTGGGGATCGCTTGAGCCGTGAGCGCGCTGCAATGCAGCGTTCGTTACATGCAACTCCGGCATGTGTAGTGTAAAATTTAAATTCATAGTGTACAAATAATACCATTAAACCAATTCCTTAACCCCTATCCCGGTATGTTTGTGAAAAAACGCCTAATTAGACAGTTAAACTAGGTTTATCTACAGTATTACAATAGTTAAAAAGCAAACAAAGAATAAATAAAATATATAATTAACGATATAACCTGACAATAATTAAATGTATTAGTTTAATTGTTCGATATACACCAAATTTAGCTTTAAGAAGTTGTTTACACTTCCGGTAAACTCACGTGTAACTGCTCGAACCATTAAAATAATACATTATTTATTATCAGCTGAAATCGTTAATTATTTACTTTTATTTACAGTTTAGTTCCTTTTTATATTATTGCCATCTGTAGTCCATCGTATTGCAATTAATTTCTTAAAACTCTTCCTAAATTGAATACATATTTTCGTTCTAATAAGTCAGGACGGAAGGAGTAGTAGGGATGTAAAGCGGAGGATAGCGCAGGGTCGTGTTGCCTTTAATAAAAAGAAGTCACTTCTGCGCTCGCGAACGGTTAAATTAGAAAATCGAAAAAGGTTGTTAAAGGTGTATGTTTGGAGTAGGCGGAAAAGAAAAGGTTAGAAGCCTTCGAAATGTGGTGTTATAGGCGGATGATGAAGATAACGAGGGTAGAAAAGGTTAGAAATGAAGAGGTATTAGAGAGAATAGGAGAACAGAGGATGTCAAAAAAAATAGGCGAGATAGGTTGGTAGGACACCTTCTCAGGTATGAAGGTTTAGTCAGAGACATATTAGAGGCAGAAACAGGAGTTAGGAGGGGTAGAGGTAGACCTAGATTAGATAACTGTTCGCAAATAGTTAAGGATGTGGGCTGTTCTAATTTTAGGGAAATGCGAAGTTTAGCTTAGGATAGGAAAGAGTAAAGGTACGTGTCCAATCAGTCTTAGGACTTACGACCCGATGATGATGATTCCTAATTAAAATAATACTCAATAATTGACATTCAGAATTAAAATATTTAATTGCATAACTGTTAATATGGGTGTTTGAGTGGCAACGATTAACTTGCTGTATTTGTTTTGAAGTTCTGCTATGAAAAAAATTAAACAATTGTAGTTGCTTTCACAAAGAACAGTAACTAACTTGAAATCTAGAGACGATAGGTAAAGGGAACCATAGTACCATTTGAAAGAGAATAAAATTCTGCATAAGGCTATGCAAATATATACAGGTTGTTCCGTTTGAGAAAATGGACTTACGATTGTCTAAAGTTAACCAAATCCGCTATTAAAAATCTAACACCCTGTACGTAATTAACCCATTTTGAAAGTATGGATGAAAAGCTTGAGTGTATAGCTACCTCTTCTGAGAATACTCCAATTTTGTTATTATATAATAGGCATACTTTTTCGCTGCCTACTGCTCTGTGCGACTTTTTTTAAAAAATTAATGTTTGGAAAACAGTAAATTTTAGAAGGAAAACCTTATGAAAGTTTATTTAAAAAAACAAAGTTGATGTCAACTTCCAGAATAACCGGAAGTGCTACGTAGATGCCATTATTTTTATTGAAGAGAACACACTCAATAACGATACTATAAAAATTTTAAAAATTTAAATCGAATTAGTTTTTGAAATATTCTAATGGGTAGTAACCGTGAGACACCTTGTATGCTCTAGCGTTTTGATTATTGAGAAAACAATTACTTTAGATATAGAAGGACTAGTGCACTCTAGCACCAAACCGTTTATTTAGAACAGAAAATTTTAATTGCCACTCATAACTAAACGGTTTTCTACAAGTACAGACTCCGAATAAATCTATTGCCTTCTATTTCATAACAGCAGGAAACTACTTAACTGGAAAGCGTTTCCTTCATTTATTAAAATAAGATCAATAACTAGTTGCTTCGTATTCCGATAGAGACTACTGTGGTGTAGCATGTAATTTTTTACCTTTCGCGGATAGGAGTACGCCTGTTTAGAGTTGTAAATGTTAGTTCTCGTTCTTTCGGGTTGTAAATTTTGTATACTTTTTATTTGAGAATATTTTCGATTTTCAGAAAGGAAACTAATACATACCGATTTATTACATCTGACTCTAACCATTGTTTTCAACACAAACTAGCCGCTTTAAACTTTCTTCTCAATATATTAGTTAAGTTTCCTTTAAATAATTTAAGAACTGTCTTTAATTAAGGACGTAGCTATTTTCAACGGTGTCCCTTCTGAAATTCTCCATAAAACGATAAGAAAGCTGAAATTTAACGCCTATATTAAAAATGTCACAACACTGTCCAGTTCATCGCAAACTTAACAAAAATTTTTTACATTACCTTTCACCCTATAGATTTAGGGATAGACAAAATTTTTAAAGAATTTAATCTCATTAGAATTTTCAAACCAAACAATAGCCTAAAAGACCTTTTAGAAAATACAAAAGATAATTAGAAAACAACAACAATCCGATATTTATGAAATTAACTGTGAAGGTTGTGAACCTAAGTATGTTGGACAAACAAAATGGGCTATTTCAACGAGATATAAAGAACATATTGCTCACTTTAGAATAAGAGATATGATAAGGCAAATGTTGCCCAGCATATTTTTAAAACAAACCCCCCTAGGACCTAAATGTTTAAAATTAGTCATAGAAAACTCTTGCAAATCCAAACTTGGGAAAGTTTATACATTCACACAAATATAATCTTATGAATTCAGATTTTTGTCCAATCCCTAATTCTGTCTTGTTACAACTATTGCAATAGGTCTAATTGATTATAGTATTAAGCTTTTTCTCCTCTTTTTTCCTTATAGTTTCCGAATTGTGAAGCATGCGTGGTTAATATTGACCTTTTAAACCCTCCCAACTGCGGTTATAGAACACGTTCGTTAACTGTTTTTCCTTTTTTTCCCCGGATTAAGCACGTTGTCGTGAAGCATGCGTTAATTACTGAACACACATGAACATTTGTAAAGTTGGTTTTCTTAGGCCAACAGCATTTTACAAATGACATTGAACGTATTCAAGTTTCCCTCCCAACTCTTCTTCTATTTTCCACTATCTTTTCTTTTCGGTCCTCAACCCTCTCAAGTAGGAGAAAATTATAAATTTTAGAACCAGTCCACATACACACAAACAACAACTAAAA